ACCTGACTTTTAATGCTACCTTTAAGTTTTTAAATAAGTCTGTAGTCTGGAGATCCCATCTTGAAAATGGCAATCTCCCAACAACAATTTTTGCTGAGCCACTGGGGTGGGGCTGGTGGGAGGTCAGATCTAGAAGGAAGGCAAGAACAAAGACATTTTACTGGTAGAAAAAGAAGATTGTGTGTGATAGCTCCTTTCAGAAGAAGTGTCAATTAAGAAAGTGGGTGATGATGTTAGGTGCCCTAATATATACAGAAAGTATTTTTCTCTTGTCAAATTAACTGCTTACAAAAAACTTAATGTTACAGTGCTGACAGGACCCTACTTGATGGAATTCACACCTGGCCAACTCTGAGCCAATTGAAACATCAAAATATATAATGATGGTGATGGATTACAGTCCATGGAATAAAATAAGAATCTGTGAGTACACACTAATGTCAATGAAGGAATAAATGGATAAATAGAGAAAGAAAAATCTGTTCATTACAGTGGAATATAAACACTGATTATAATTATATCATATGTAAACTATGAGTGAAGTTTGATGATGCATGCATGGCATCTCTGCCTACTATGTATGTTTACAAAGGGGAAAACAGTCCCCTTTGAGCAAAGATAACTTTACCAGTATTGGTGCAAACCAACACCATGCACCCTTCCCCCTTTCTCCCCACTATACACATTGGGGGTGCAATATTGCTTTGGTGCACTCTGAAAGTTCCTTTATCTTCCTTTATCCTTTATCTGATCATCCAAAAGAAGAGCACAATAATTATCTTTAGTCCTTCTACAGAAATATCATTAACCAGAGAAAACTAAACACATATGGTGGGTGTAAAGATTAAAGTCTGACAACACACTTGGGCAGACTTTTGTCATACTCCATTGTCCTCTACTTTGGATCCATGGAGAATAATTTACAACCCATTGTCTGTTCTGCAGGGCCAAGGGATTAGATCCCAGGTTATTGCATGTTCTCTAAGCCCATGGATTTTTTTTCCCTAAAGATGTTTCACTATCAACCATTCTTCACCTCCATCACCTTATATACCAGAAAAAGGGGAGTATATAAGTTTCTGAATAATGGAAAGTTTCTGAATAATGGACGAGTTGTTTATCTTATTCCTGTGATTTTTCTCCTTTTGTATGTTAACAAGTTTGCATGCCTTTTCTCCTATTTAATCTGTCTTTTTCTGTTTATTTCAGTGACATTTCAAAGAGCAGACAGGAAATTTTCCTTCACCTTACACTAGCCTATATTATTAAAACACTGTCAAGGTTTAGGAAGACAAAGAAAGGCTGAGGACCTATTTAAGACAAGTGGAGTATGAAAATAAAAAGGAAAATCAGGTGAAAGCAACACCAGAAGAGTTTTTGAAAATGGAGTGGAGGGAGGGCTGGTTGTAGCTTAGTAGTAGAGCTTGCCTAGCATGGGAAGTCCAGGGTTCAATCCCCAGTACTGCAAAACACACGCGTGCGCACACACCATTAAGGAAGTAGCACTCATATGCATCTCCAGATTATGCCTGAGAACCTGGGAATGTGAATTTTGGCCACCTCCACTCTTTGAGTGCAGGCATCTGAAATGACCAGATAATTATATCATGTTCAGAGACTCAAGATGTGTGTCAAGAGGTTATTGAGCTCTAGTTTCACAGATATTTTTACTAAGCACATATATTCTTTTCTCTATCTTCTACCCATCTAACAGCACCCGTTCTTTCCCAGTATTCAATAGAAGTCTCCTGTGTAAAATTTTTTGCCATTTTGTCATAATTCAGAACTGCTTGCCCAGGAAAGCTCCTTGCTTCCCTTACTTCTTTGAAACCATGATTTAGAACTGTCTGAGCTGTTTTCCAAATTGCAGTTCCTAAGATCCAAAATAAAGTATTCTTTAGTTTCTGGTTTTGAATTGATAGACTAGAAGCATGACAACTACATGCAACGTATGATCCTGAAGGTGAACAGGGAAAGCCAGAAAGATCTCTGGGGCAGTTGTTGAGATTTTAATAGAGACTGTATTGCATTGTATTAATGTTAGATTTCCCAATTTGGATAATTTCACTGTGTTTGTATAAAAGAATATCCTTGTTTTTTCAAGAAAATACACACTGAAGTATTTAGAAGCAAAGAATTAAAATATCTTCAAAATACTCTAAAGTAGCTCAGGGAGTGTGGGGGAGGAGGGGGAGAGTATATGTGCATGCATGGGGCAGTGGAGAGAATATGATATATCAAATGGTGGAATAGTAAAAATTTCCTCATACTATTCTTGGAATTTTTCTGTAAGTTTGGAACAGCATCAAAACTAAAAGTTATAAACAATGCTACAATGCCTACAAATTTCTACTCCTGCAGAGCCTGAGATATCATGGAAATTCAAAGTTGTTTCTTTTTCCAGAGCAATTAGCAATTCAGAAGTTATTTTCCTTAACATTAAAAAATAGGGACTATGGAATAAAATCTCCAATATGAGAGAAGTGATAGGACTACAGCAATTTTACTGAGTGTTGATATAATATCAAGATTTCATTATTATTTTTAGATTAGCTTTAAACCTCTCTCTTTAACCAAGCTCTTAATTTCAGGGAAATTTTTATTATATAAAAATGTTGAAGTGGGAGATAGGAAGACACGAGTTGGTGTCTTAGAAAAAAATTCATGTAGCAGACAAGATCACAGGGGATAGCTGTGATTCTAATTGTTAAGATTAACACTTAAATATTTTCAGTTAAAAATTCCTCCTAAGGAACAGTATCTGCAATATTTAGAGAATTTCAGTCTGGAACTCTCTTCCTTTCTCTCCCTGGATCTTCCTACCATTAATGTTTTGCTAAAGAGCACATTTTCCAGGTCAACAATTTGGACCCTCTAGTTGCTTCAGAATCAACCAGTACCCTGTGGATGTATTGGTCAGCATCTGCTCATCTGATTATTTTAGAACATTAAGTGGTTTTTGGAAGATGCTGATCCTGGTGGCCAGTGGAGCAGCACTCATCAACTCCCAGGATCTGTGAGTGATAGAGGGACTTAAAGATTATCCAATCCCATGCCATCATTTGTTGGCAAAAGAAAACATGAGATATTTTCTTCTTTCAACCAAACCTGAAACAAGCAGATGGTGGAAAGAGCCAGATCTGTTATAGATTCCTGAGCATTAGTCCAAAATGGCTATCAATGTATTTTGCAATCTTGATCAAAGGCCCCATTTACCTTCCCCATGTAACGCTGAACAAACATGGGCTGCTACGTAGAGCAAAGGGATAATAGGGGATCAAACCCTCATGCAAGCTAGGCAACCTCTGTACCATTAAGTTGCATCCCCAGTCCTGCTTTTTAAATTAATTCAAATCATATCAATGGAAGGGGAACTGGGTCCTCTAATAGTTATGGTGGCTTAGATGAGAAGGAGAGTGCAAATATATTTTATTTATCAAATTTTTAGATGTAAACTTTAAATGTTGAAGTAATTTGAAAGGCCAAAGTTTCAATAATATGAAGGAACTTAAGTTTCTCCAGTTTGTTGGACATCAAGGGGCTTTAAGGGAATATCAGCTCCAACTCTAAGTTAATCAGTCTAATTTTCTGGTTTCTAATTAAAAATCAGTTGTACAATCTCTTAAGACTTCAGTGAGAATTAAATGCAAGTAGAGAATTATGTAAAAGAACTGATGTTCCTTGTCCTTCTAATCCAAATTTATACTATTAAACAAAAAAGATTTAGAAGCATTAATGTTAAAATTGATTTGTTGGTATATCTTTATATTGGAACAAATACTAGTCAAAAAATAACTTACCAGTTTACAATGCCCTCAAAGCCAAACAAAATATCATGGCATGTTAATTCTAAATTTTGTAGAATCTTATTCATAACTATAGTTATAAAAACTTTTTAAAAAAATCTGTATGGGAGATGAAAACATTTATTGCCTATTTTTTGAATAGTTTTATCTGGATGCAATGCTTTTTTTCCTATTGCCTGAGTGACATGGTTGATTGTATGAGAAGAATGGATATCCCATTCCCTCATCCCTCAGGAGAGCTCATGTGTCTTGCCTTCTAACTTCAGTTTGACTGGAGATAAATTGCCCAAGACATAGGGCCTTACCTGCTTAATGATATTCTTCTGTGTGGGGCTGTTCAAGGCTCTTGAGCTTAGATTGGGGTGTACCTCAAGGGTAGCACTGAGGAAACTTGGTCAAATGTACATCTTGAGTTAGCTCTACCCCACAGGAGTCTGAAAAACTCCATGTGTTATTGGTCCTACAAGGGGGTATGCTAAGGAAGTGTCTGTGGCCTGACTCCAAGCTTGCCAGGAAATAGCCAAGAGATATCCACCCCAGCTTACTGAATTCAGAGGCATGAGAGTGCAAAACCTCACAGGGCTTCCCTCTCAAAGATGCTAGGATATGGACAGCCTTTCTCTAAGTATGGCACCAGCTAGGGAAGCCTCCTCGACTTGTTTTTCTCCCTCAGCCCCCATGTGCCCTGCCAGTACCCATTCATTCACCTTATCTCAGGGATTCATCCAGTTCTCAGTGCCACTGCTCCAGCTGGGTCTTAACTGTTTCCCGCCTGCAGTAATCCAACAGCTTCCTAGAAGGTTTTCCTCTCTCCATGTGCCCACCATTCTACCCCTCATCACCCATTCTTTTTAAAGAGCTGCCCCAAGTGCTACTTTTAAAAATGAAAATATAATCATGTCCCTTCCTTCTTAAAAGGCTTCATTGGCTCCCTACTAATCTTTAAGATAATGCCTGAACTCCTCAGCGGTGCATGGACAGAATCTATTGTCTAATTACTCCTTTAGTAATGACCTTTGGCCATTCTCATTCCTCTTCTTGTAGGATCCACCTCTAACTGTTTATTTATCCATCCCCCCGCCAAGTTAATTCTTGAGAGCAGAGATTTCCCCCGCCCCCCAACCCCAGATCAAATCCCTATGGCAAGGAGGCAGAATGTACTGGGCATAAGCATAAATAAAAACCCAGAAAAGAGTCATTAGCACTTGATTTTAATTAAAATTAACAGTTCAGATGAAGACTGGACTAGAATAGTGTTTAATATCAACCTCTGAGAAATCACATCTATATAAAACAAATGAAACAGGCCAGGAGAAGTCCAAAAAAGGTACAGCTTACATTATTGCACGTGGATGAAATGCTATTTAGGGTAGCAAAATCCTCAGGCCAGAGGAGGAGGAAGAAAAGACAAATACAGAGGACAAACCTCTAGGAAGTATTTATTTTGCATTCTGAACTCTCCAGTGTCCTCAAAAGTATTTAGCACTTTGGACACATTCACTATGCTCTTGAAAAAAAATGACTGCAGTGACTTCAACATGTTTTAGTTACACTTACATTCTTTGTTCTAGTCATGTGCAAGTTCAATGTGTAGCTACCTCACATACTGGGACATCTGTAACACCAAAATTCCCAGTGCCCACAGTCATGGACAACAGGGAAAGGGAGTAAAGTACTATATTATACAGATTTTAGGGAACAATACTGTGGCTATTGTTAACCCTTTTGAGCACTCTTGATTTTGGTCATTTATATTGGAACATGTGAAGGAATAACATTGAATATGAAAGTAACTCCTAGGCTTCTTCTAGAAAATAAAACACAATTTAAAAACAGTTCCCTGCCACGTTCAGGAAGGTGGCAATTACTGTATATATAAGAAAAAGGGTGTAAACTTATAGAAAAGATCAACTCCAGCTTACAAACAAATTATAAAATTGATTTTGTTTTAACCTGTGAGTGTAATACAAAAAATGTAAACTTGTGGACCTAGTTACCAAGACCACTTATCCTCCTAAGCTCAGACATGAAATTAAAGTTTGGCTTGAGCTAGTTTTATCTTCAAATTTTCTCCAAGTTTGTCCATGAACTCAAAGGTATTCAAGTAGTCAGAACGCTGTACGCTAAAAGGAGAGAAAAAAGAAAAGACGGAAATTTAGTTTGTTTCTAATATAGTAGGAGGTAGAGAAAAAATCCTAAAAACACTACTTAACATAGTATTTTATCTATTTCTAGAAGTCAACCGATTAATGTTACCAAGCTACAAGAATACAGACAATGACTATGTTCCCAGTTCATAGGGCTGACCCAGTCTTGGGCATCGTGCAGTGGAGGCTCAAGCACAAACATTCACAGTAGGTTCCACGCCATGTAGCTCTGAGGTTGAAACTATCAAGAGTTTCAGTTTAGACTAATCCAATGAGAGCAGACTCATCCTACTCCTTAATTCTTAGAAATAACAAAACCTGTTGAGAGTATAGCCAAGCCTTTACCTACATTCCCATTCACTGTTACATGTTCTTAAAAAAGCTTAAATGCTCTTGTTTTCATCAGTGTTTTATTTAAGAAAAACAAAAAAGAATGGACTAACTGACATAATCCTGCTGGTACACGCCCATCAAATAGGCTGCAAAGATCTATAGATACTACATATACTGCACAGATTAGAACATTTCAAACATTGTATTCTCGATGGAAGTTCAAGTTAAGAAATTTGCAGTGACTGAGTATATGCACTTTATTGGGGTGTACTGAAATCTCTGAGGATATACCAGTTGGGACTTGGTATTAGTGTTAATTTTTTCTAAAATTTCTTAAGATGAGTCCTGGTAACTAACTCTGACTTTGAGAGAGTTATCTGATTAGCAGCTAATGCAATGGAATACTGGTTACCATGTCCTCAGAAAAGCCCAAGGCAATCAATGCACAATAAGTTCCACTGTACTGAAGGTTAGTGGAACTTAAGGAAGCGATAGTAATCAATGGACATCTTATACTTGTGCTACTTATTTTTCTTATTTGTAAATTAAAGAAAATAATGGGATGGAATTAGCTAGACTAGTTCCCTTTTTTTTCTAATTGACTATCATTTTCTTAAAATTAAATAAGTTGTTCATTCAATTATTGTTAACTAGATCAGCAAATTATAGCCCAGCCCATAGAACAAATTTAGCCTGTAGTCTGGTTTTGTACACAAAAGTATAATTGGCAAATTGCTGTATCTATGCATCTCTGTATTATCTATGACCACCTTCCTGCCACAACAGCAGATGCCAAGTTTAGTATTTGCATAGTTCCCAAAAGACTGTATGTCCCACAAACTAAAATGTAGCTGGGCTTGGTGGCATATGCTTGTAAGCCCAGCTACCAGAAGATTGAGGCAGGAGGATCACAAATTCAAGGCCAGCCTGGGCAACTTAGTAAGACCCTGCCCAAAAAAAACAAAAACAAAAACAAAACAGCCTAAAGGTATAGCTCAATGATAGAGCATTCTTGAGTTCAATCACCAGAACCACCCTCACACATACACATACTCAATCTGAAATGTTCACTGTCTGACACTACATAGATAATGTCTACTGACCCCTAAAAAGGATGATGAATATCAATTTACATAATTATAAAAAACACTGGTGTTTTGAGGCTGGTGAGGATAAATGGCAATCTGACCACAGAGTTCAGGGCATCTTATACTTACTTGGGTAGACCTTTAATGCAAGCAGCCAAGTCCTTGGTCATAAAGCCAGCCTCAATGGTCTCAATGCAGACTTCTTCCAAAGCCTTTGCAAAGATGCAAAGGTCATTATTGTTATCCAGCTTTGCCCTGTGGGCTAACCCTCTGGTCCAGGCAAAAATGGAAGCTAAAAAAGAGAAACAGTCATCCCAGGTCTAAGAATTCCCAAATCTTTCACAGTTCCCCCAAACAGAATATTTTTAAAAATTTAGGTTGTGGGCTTTATTAGATGATATCCATATAGGGCAGAAGTTTTAGGAAAGCTGGAAATACTTTCCCAAATAGAAAACTACCCCCCCAGCACCCCAAAACCCCAGAGGAAAGGGACCAGGGGGTGGTGGGAGGAGAGAGGGGGAATGTGCTATGAAGTGATATTGGCCAAATTTTGTTGTTATATTTTGTGTATGTACAATATGTAACAACAAATCCCACCATTATGCAACTATAATGCACTAATAAAAAGTGTGGGAAAAAACACCTACATTTTAATGGTATGGTACTAGTGCTTGATGTTTAAGGCATTTACTGTCTTAGAAAAGGTCTCTATATCTTTTGTCTACATGTCTACATTGGTCTCCTCTTTCTAGGCTGCTATCTCTTTTTAAAGTACTGTCCTTGACACCTTGTTGAAGGGATCTATCCATGTGACTTTTAGATGTGTAGCTTCCAGTGACATTTTACTGCTCCAGGGACAGTTGATACACTTGTTGATAATTTCTTTTCTGTAATGTATACTCTTCTACAAAATAGAAAAGCACATTTTCAGAACATTATTAAGCATGTTAAAATAGCTCCTATTAGTAGAATGCATTAGCTACTTGCTGATGACTTTTCACACAAAACACTGAGTAGCCTAAGGAATGTGCCTGAGTTCCTCTGGAGATCTCCTTTGGAGAACACTCTCTTGTCAGAAATCGATGTGGAAATAGACACCATCTTACCAATAGGATTGGTGGACGTCTCCTGTCCTTTCTGGTACATGCGGTAGTGACGTGTTACTGTCCCATGGGCAGCCTCTGCTTCTACTGTCTTGCCATCTGGACAAATCAGCACACTAGTCATCATGCCAAGTGAGCCATAACCTGTAGGTGGCAGAGCATTAAGTACTGGTCCATCTGCGAGAAGACTGGTCTCTCAGCACTGAGAGCAAAAGACTCAGTCTTGTCAGGTCTTGGTAAGCATGAGCACATGGAGTCATTGGTAGCTCCTCTGCCTTTCAGAAAATGAGGTATCCAGATCTCAGAGTCAAAGGATCTGGAGAAGCTGAGCTGTTTCTCACTTATCTCTGGTATCTGCTTCATGATGGAGGGTTTGGGGTCTGACTGCCTGTATTTCACCCTATTCTGTGGCTTCATATCTGCTGTGACTCAGTTTTCCTACCTATAAAATGAGAATAATAAAAGGACCTACTTTACTGTGTTGTTGTGGGATTAGATGAATGTACATATAATTTGTGAATATATATGCATATTTCTTAGAAAAATATCTGCCACAGTAAGAGCTCAATATCTTGTTATTATATGCAGATACTCTGCTATTCTGGGGAAATAAAGATTAGAGTTGTCTCCTGCCTTCAATTTACTATAAACTCATGGGGATGGGAAAAAGGCTCATAAATGTAGGATGGGTTAGATCCAAGAACATTCTAATTGCTCTTCCTTGTTTTCTGTAATACCCTCAACAAAACAATTCTCTTCCATGGTTTCCTATTCAGAGAACCATATTCCAACAGTTAAGTTAATTCACTTAATTTTTTTTTATGTACACTTTTTCGCTTGAATTCAAGGGACCCTTTCTCCATTTGTGTCACCACCTATGAGTTCTCATTAAATTAATAATGTAAACTTCCAATAAATAAACAAATGGCTACTTTTGTGTGGGCAGAGATCAAGTGGATCTCCTCTAATTTCATTTTAGTTTTTGGTCATCTTTAAGCCCAGTTAAGAAATTTCTGTGTGGAATTAATAGTTCCTTCCATATCACTGTATTTCTTTGAGGCTTCATAGATACTCAAATTAAATTGATTAGAGAATTCAGGACCATACCATGGTGAATTTGTCTATTTATTAATATTAGAATATAAGCTTATGCCATTGTCAAAACTGAGGACATAAATGAAATGGCCCGAGTCTGAAGTAGTTTGTATCTCTAGAGAAGAATGAACAAAAAGATAGCTGGGCTGGTTTTCATCTATTTAGCTGAGATCACCTGATCTATCAGACTCTGATCTTAAGTAGGTCTCTTATCAGGGCCCATGGTACTTCAGATCTCTTGCTTCATAGTCCTTTAAACTTTTATAACTGGACATTTACATCTGAAATATTTCTTTTGATACTCTCTTCTTATTGCCATGAGAACCTTTAAACATGGAATAACTTTGGGTCCCTCTCCCGGAACTTCAATGATAAGGAATAGCTCTCCTCATCTTTTGTGGAGTCACCACAAAGCAGTGCCCCTTTCTGTATGTACTTAGTACCAACCACCAAGGATCTGGAGACAGAGGGGGTGGGGTGGTGGTGGTAAAGAGTTGTGTAATTCAGTTATCTGATATAAAAGTAATCTTTGGGCTGGTCTACTGATTTTCAAACTGATTAGAGATGTTTAACTTTCAAAGAGAAAAAGTAGTACTTCCTGGGAGAAAATAAACATAATTAAAGCCTATGCAAACATTCATCTGGGGAAAGTCAAGTTCCTACAGCTACCAAGAGTAACTGAAACTGAGCAGCAACTTGGTGCTGAGGAAAACAGGGAAAGGAGAATTTCTGTTGATTTGGCCAATTCTCCTGGCATGAAGTACCTGGTTCCTGGAATTTCTGTGAATGGCCCTGGACTTCTTTGCTTAATATTTCTTTGTACAATCCCCTTTGTTAAAAGCTAAGCAGTAAACTTAAATTAAAACACACACACACACACACACACACACACACACACACACACAGTAACAAAGCAGCCTGATTCAAGGCTGGCAGTAGGAGCATGATCAGGACCTGTTGCCAGGTGAATGAGCTCCTGGAGATACTGCTCACAGTTGCCGGACAACCCAGGCCACTCACTTTATTGCTCCTCCTTGCCTGAGTACACTTGGTTTCCATAATATCACCAAAGGGAAAATAAATACAGGAAAAGGGGGTGACTTTTGGACTAGGTAGTTGGCTACCTGTTGGAGGTTTTAAAACTTCAAGTGGGAACAAAGGATGAGGTGAGTTTAACCTAAGGCTGGAGCAAGCAATGTCAAACCCCCGCTTATTTCCTCTGTGACCTTGAATAATTCACTTCCCCATCTGAACTTAATTTCTTTATGTGTCAGAAAATGAATGATGGATCTGGGTGCTTTGTAGCACTAGCATTTCATGGTTTTACAACTAAGGACTACAAAATCCCTCTTCCCAAACTATAGATTTACCATGGAATGACCTCAGGGCTAGCAGGCTCCATCCACCTCCACCTGCTGCTCTGGCTCCTTACCTTGGGCCACGGAGTCTGACTGCACATCACCATCATAGTTTTTACAGGCCCAGATGAAGCCTCCCTCTGATTTCATAGCTTGAGCCACCATGTCGTCGATGAGCCTATGCTCATACCAGATCTTTTGGGCTTCAAATTGGGATTTGTACTGCCTAAGAAACAAGAGAAAAATTAGAACAATTAAAAAAGAAGTTGGCTTTTCAGGGCTGTCATCTGCTTCTCCCAAAGGCTTGGAAGGGGACAAGGAGCAGCCTTTTCAGTAGACGGAGCACAAATGTGGGACTCTAACACAGGCTAAATCTCTGCTCAAGCATTCTCTGGCTATGAAACCCCAATCTGGCCACCTGTCACACCTTGCAGGAAAGGTGTGATACAGTAGGCTATCCCAACTATTGCTTTGATTTCTAATTTTCAATATAGTACTGATCATATTCTTGAGACTCAGGTTCTTTTAAGAATGTAGCAAAGGAAGCTGAGTATAGTGGTCTATTCCTGTAATTTCAGCAACCCAGGAGGCTTAGGCAGGAGGATTGCAACTTCTTGACAATTTAGCAAGACCCTCAGCAACTTAGCAAGACCTTGTCTCAAAATAAAAAATAAAAAGGGCTGGGGATATAGGTTATTAGTAAAGCACCCTTGGGTTCAATCCTGGTGCTGAAAAGAAAAAATAATATAACAAAGGGAAAAAAAGATATTCCAATGACATGATATCATTCAGGAAACTAGATGTACTATGGGACAGTTTTTAGGCTTAGTACAGATGGATAGTTGGAAGAGGGAATCAAAATGCCTTTGGAAAGATTTTTTTTTTTAATCCAGAAAAATCTGCATCTGAACAACACAGGAAGTGATGCTGTCTGAAGAGTTAACACAGGCTCACCTCACAGGTTGCTGGGCCAGAGGTTGTTATAAATTTATACTTAAGTTCAAAAGACCATGTAAGGTAGAGTTTCAATCATTACAATGATTTTTAGAAAGAAGAAAATGGGCCTGACTCATAAACTGACATATTTGACAAATCAGAACTTTCTATCACTAACAGGGTACTTAAGTCAAATACTAAACAATCCTGGCTCTGTGGAAAAATTAAGGATGGGCCCTTTTTAAAACACATGTTTATTTTCCAAAAGCAATTTAGAGTGGTTTTATTTTACTCCTGCTAAATCTTAGTTTTGCTCTTATCTAATTTAAGGATTATTGAAGATTTTCACTTGATTTGTCACAGAATCAAAGGGATAAGGAAATGCAAATTCTATACCATAAATGCCAGCTTACTTGGAAACAAAAGAAAGAAAAAGGAATAAAGAATGGCAGTTACTTGTCATATATCTCCTGAAAGATGTCTTTAAAGCGTCCATCATATTTCTTCAGAATAGTGTTTTTGGTGCTCAGATACAAAGGCCAACCCTTAGACAGAGCCATTTGGAAGGAACTGTGTGCAAAATCTTCAATTGACTTGTCTTCATTGTACATTCCCATGGCAACTCCACCACCCGCTGCAGGGAGTAATGAGAGAAAAAAAGAAAGTAAACGTGGGATAGCTGGAGTGAGGTTAAAGGAATCTCCACAACCAAAATACCAATTGTTGGCTCCCCTGGCTGAGCCTAGACTTCAAGTCCCTGGCAGCCTTCCAAACTGAACAGTTCAGGAGTTTTTGAGGGACAGGATAGGATGAAAATCAGTTCTAGATAAGAATAGTCTAACTTGTTTTAGAAGAGCCATGGAAATAAGAAAAACATATGGTCTTCAGGATCCCAAAGATACTAAAATACCAAAAACTACTAATATGGGGGCTGTGGCTGTGGCTCAGCGGTAGCACACTTGCCTGGCATGTGTGAGGCACTGGGTTCGATTCTCAGCACTGCACATAAAAATAAATATAATAAAAGTCTATCAACAACTAAAAAAATATTTTAAAAAACCTGCTAATGTGACAGAAAATATACTCACAAATGGGCAAATAATTTTGAATTTGTTTTTTATGTACTTTAACAATTTCCAACATGTATTTTGAACTTAAGGGTGTACTCAGCCCATAATTATTGAGAGAGATCTGCATTTTAAATACTAAATGAAAATTCTTGTAATTTCCAGAAGGACACTGAGCATGTCTACTGCAATTGGTGGAAGTAATTACGCTACATGTAATCATTCGTGTTTCACAACTTTTATTAGTTGAACTCTGTTATTACTGAAACTTGAACCCATGCCAACTCCCAGGGTGCTGAAACTCACAGAAGTAGATTCTATTCGGATGACATTATTTAAAGGAGGTAAGAAAAAAAAAAGATATTTAGGTGTTATCTTTTTTTAAAATTTGTTTGTTTAAATTTTTTTAAAAATTTTTTAATATTTATTTTTTAGTTTTCGGCGGACACAACATCACTGTTTGTATGTGGTGCTGAGGATCGAACCCAGGCAGCACGCATGCCAGGCGAGCGCTCTACCGCTTGAGCCACATCCCCAGCCCTAAATTTTTAAAAATTTTTAAATTTGTTTGTTTAAATGAGTACTTTCAACAACTTTTGGGTAGGATTTGCCCTAATGAAACTTTGAAGCTGCAGGGGAAGAAAAGTCAAAAAAATAAATATTTCACTTTCACAGGATAAATTCCCAGAAGGGCAAGGAGAAAATCTTAGCAAATAATGCAACCATTTCTAAATACAAACCCCACCAGAGCAAAGGGCAGGATTGCATGACAGATGATTTGGGGCTATTAATGTTTAATTTATACCATTTGTGCATAAGGTATTCCTGCCAATCTTCCCTCCATATTTTAAGACAAATGCATAAATGTCTTCTTGTCATTGCCTATATGCATTTCCAGCTAAGTGACTAACCCCTTCATGCCTTATTCATGCCAAGGGAGGGCATGGAACCAACTACTTTTTATGTTAGATTTTTGGTTTTGTAGAAGTGTAGAATTAGGTTATATTTTTAGGCAGTCACATAACTAATTTTGAAAAAAAAAACAGTAATAATGTTTCTAAATCATTTGTTTTTAAAAAAAGAAGACGTAGCTTATGATGGACTCATACATACCTTCAAAGTTATGTACCAGGTATGTCACCTTCTGGGTTCCATCACTTGGTGTGTAGGTTATCTCTACTTTTCCAGGCCCAGGAACAACAAAATCAGTTGCTCTATACTATATAAGTAGGAAAAAGGTATTAAGAAAAGAAAAATACCCCAATAGGAATTATAAGGAAATATATATATATATATATATCTGAGAGAGAGAGACAGAGAAACATACATGAGCACAAGAGGACACCAAGATAAACAAGAGAATATAGCTTGTCCTTTTTTTTTTTTTTTGTTATTATGGATTGAATTCAAGGGTGCATAACCACTGAACTACATTCCCAGTCTTTTTTATTTAATTACTCTGAGACAGGGTCTCCCAAGTTGCTGAGGCTGGCCTTGAACTTGGGATCCTCCTGCCTTAGCCTCCTGAGTTGCTGGGATTACAGGCCACCACATCTGGCAGATATTTAAAGAGATAGAAATGAAGATAGTCCAGAGTTCCTCTAGTTAGTGGTAGTGCACATTAAAAAGTCAGTCAGTATTTATTACTAGGCTACCATGTATGTGACAGTTTTATGGGCACTGATACAGAGAACACAGAGAATAACACAAGATACTTTCTTTAGGAAGCTTACCAACCTAATAAAGACAATACTAAGTGAGAAGTGACAGAGAGTTTTCAAATGTCAGAAGGAGTCATAAACCAATAAATCAATAAAAATGCTGCAGGGTGATGAAGAGATTCGACCTGGCCTGGCCTACGGGCTGAGGAAGCTGTCCTGCAGGGAGGATTATAATCCTACTTGTGCTGAAAATGATGATAGAGCTGATGCTTTGTCCTTACTATGTATCAAATAAGATGATCTCATTTGATTCTCATATCAATCTTACAAAGATGTCAGTGTGATATAATGGAAATAATGCATCCTGAGTCCAGAGACTTGGGATCCTTACTTAGACTTTCAGGGCTCCAGTTATCACTGTCCACATGAAAAAAATCATCTGGAAGCTGCTGTGACAGTTGATGAACCCCCCAAAAATCCTGTTCACCTCCCTCATGAGCATAAGCCATTCCAGTGGAGAAATGTGCCTGGTATACATGAGGTATTCACAAGTAATTCGTGCACTGAACCTTACTCAAAGATTTGGGTTAATTGGGAGACTTGGAGTTAGGAATTAACAAGAACCAGCCACACCTATAGGTTTATAGTAATACTAACAGTAGGTAAAAGAGCATTCAGATAACAAAAAAGATTAAATATCTACTCTACAAAGAACACTTATGACATATAAAGTCATTCACTATGGGTTGCTGATTTGTTTCCATTTCTCAAAAGGAAGAACTGATACCTCAAGGCACTGTAAATGCTTTGCATAGGGTTTATGCACATTTACACAGCAAATCAACCTGGCATTTGAAAATTTTAATCTTGACTTTAAACAACAGATTGTCCATTATTACAAATGACTGATGCTATAATTAAAAAAAAAAAAAAAAAAGACAGACTGAATTGGTAAGAACTGCCACCTATGCATCCTTGCTTGGGACTCTGGTACCTGTGAGGGGCCTGGCCAGGATGAAGGGACAGTATGAGCCACAGGGTAGAACAAAGTTAACCAACTCCTTGGGGACTGAGCTGGCAACTCTGTCCCCAGAAACATCATCCCTGGCCACACTGTTTACAGGGATGACTACATAGAAGTGCGGATTTTGGATTTTAGCATTAGGGAATTCCTGTTTTTAAGGTTCTTGTAAGACATAAGCTTCTTTCTATGAAAATCTGAAACCTGTCTCAACACAATTTGGAATTTGTTTAATTGGCAGCTTTTCTGCTTAACTTGGCAATGAGTCTATTTGTATAGAAATACAGAATCCATTTTTGTTTTTCAAGTAGGAAATAATGTTCTAACTTGATTGCTTTTGAATACTAAGCCAGTTATCATGTTTAATATCATATTTGGTGGTTCTCAACCCTATCTGTACATTAGAATCACTTATGGAACTGATTCAAAAGCCTGAATTCAGATTTCAGCTGGTGGAGATGGGACTCAGATATTAGACAAAAACCAAAAAGGTAAAGCTAAACCAAATCAAACCAATGAATCATTCATAAGTGGATCTTATTATGCAGCCAGCATTGAAAACCACTGATCTGGTTGGAACATATGATACTACTAAAAAATAAAAAAATTAAAAAATAATTGCCATTTGTGTGATATAACTAACAAAAGGATAAAGATAGAAAAAAACATGTGTGGCAAAAATCATGTGTTGAGATGGGTATCTACAGTAAGTTTATCTGTATTTACCTCTATCTAAATGTGGGTAAATATACAGCTATACATACTAGAATTTCTAAATTTTGCAACTTTGCTTAATGGGTGTAGACACCAAAAGATAAGGATAAAACCCATATAAATCAGAATTGCTGGGTCATGTAAAAATATATGGGAAATTGTGCCCAAATGACTTACTTGGTCCCCATAAGCATGACGGCCTATGATGATGGGTTTTATCCATCCACTCACAAGTCGTGGGATATTTTTGCAGATAATTGCTTCCCTGAAGACAGTGCCACCCAGAATATTTCGGATAGTGCCATTTGGTGATTTCCACATTTGCTTCAACTTGAACTCCTCAACCCTCTTCTCGTCAGGGGTGATAGTAGCACATTTGATACCAACATTATACTTCTTTATAGCTTCTGCAGCATCCTTGGTGACCTGGTCATTGGTGGCATCACGATTCTCTATGCCTAAGTCATAGCTAGAAAGGGAAAAAAGTGTCAATACTTCAGGAAAATGAATAAAAGTCATAGCTAGAAAGGGAAAAAAGTATCAATACTTCAGGAAAATGAATAAAAGTCATAGCTAGAAAGGGAAAAAAGTATCAATATTTCAGGAAAATGAATAAGTTATAATCCATGACCCCACTGGTGACAGGCAGAGGTTGCTATGCAGAAGATAAAGGCCTCAAAGACACCTAAATCTGTCAAGTTTTAGCACTGATGTCCCCTAAACATAGAAGATGACTGACAATTCAAGAAGGAAGTAAAGAGTCAAGAGGACTAGGCTAGTGGGCAGCTGTCTCTCCGGAAATTGAATGGAAAACAACGAACTCTGCCAAATTGCCCCCTATTTTTCACCATCTTGAGGCAATAACAACACATGAACAACCCTTTGGCATGGCTTCCCTCCATATAATTAGCATACAAGTTAAACCTAAGCACCACCTAATTTTCCCTTAGTAAATATTGTGCTTGAAAAATAAAGGGGTGGAAGGCTTAAAGGATGTTTTGTATTCTGACATTAAAGTGATGAAGGGTATAGAGATTACTGTTGTGCAAAAAATGCTAATGACTGCTTCATTTATGCCAGTTAGTCATAAGGTGAACCTTCCCCTAATTCTTGGGCAAGTCTCTATGTTCTGGAAACAAGCCTGCAGTTTATTGGATAAGTAGTAGAACCCATCAACAGTTTCATATGCACCAGAAAGTTTTAGCTCAACGTACACCAACACCCATACTGCGGGTCATTCAGAGCTGAATGCATGTTGGCTGTTCATGGAACACAAAAACATGATTTTATGGAAAGTAGTAAAAACAAAATAATAGAATAACTTATTTTGTTCTCTAAGAATTTAAAGTTTTTCAGCTCTCAAAAATTGCTAAACCAAATAGTCTCTAGATTTCTATTCTTAGTTTTCACATCTTCTTTCCTTAGATATCCCAACTGCTGATGCAAACACAGAAATAGCAATCTTGATTGATTCGCAAATAAAAAAATGTCTAATGCTTCAACTTTAGATAATTCACATAAATCTAACAAAGCCATATACTTTCTTATCTTCCTGCGTAGGAAATGCTGAATATAGACAATGTCTAATCCCAACTCCACAAGAAGGATGGCCACAGTTTTCATGTTCCTAGGTATGATTCTCATCAGAAGAATCTACCAGAAAATTAGTGGATTTTCTGCTTCCCTTAACATTAAAAGAAAAGAGAAATAAATAGCCAGGACCACTACTGAGTCTCCATAAAAACAACAACAAAAACAAAATAAAAAATAAAAAACAATCAATTACTATACTTCTTTCAAAAAGAAACAGAAATAACAGCAATTTTGGAACAACTTAAAACTTATTTGAACTTGCAAGAATTCTTTAGTTTGTAGCCACTGACTCTTTTTTTTCTGCCTAGGCATAAAGACACCCCTTTAAAAGGCCTTATGAGTCTATACTAAAGAGGCTAGCATTATTATTCTGGACCCTGTAAACCCCTGCAAGTTCACATAATGTCATGCAAAGTTCTGAAACAGGAGAGAGTTTGTGAAATGCTTCTTCAACGCACTTTGAAACTGTTTTTATGCTCTGTTCCCTGTATGTTTGGTGGACTCCTACAAGCACAGTCTTTACACCACATGGTGGCTGCAATACAGACATTATCAGCAGCTTAATTTTAGAACAATTAAAAAGGGCGTCTAATGACAGCATGAGAACTGAAAGTCTAAACCAAAGCAAGTTAACGGGTCCTCAGGACACATTCTGAATACTTCTGGATGGAGGCAGACACTTAATAGTTGCCAACAATTTGTCTGAAACGTGTTGCTCTATATTGTACTATACCAGGCTTTAGCCACTTCACCTTTTTAAACATTCTGCCTCTATCTAGTTTGAATGTTCAAAAACAAAAGCCGCTTATAAAAAACACAAGGAAAAAATGAGAGAATTACGAACATACTTTCACATCTGCCCCCAAACACTGTAAAGACAGGGCAAAGAGACAAAGATGACCTAAGGGAACTGGGGCTTGAGGTGGGTGTCTCAGAGAACCACGAGGGTTCTTCAGTGCAGCAGCTGTATGAAAGGGCGAAAGGTCAAGAATGAAAAGGAAACATCCACTGACTGATTAAGAGAATGACAGAAAATTGAGATTGAAAGGATAAAATTTAGTTTACTGTTTCTTACATCCTCTCGTTTTTTCCTCTTCCACAAATAATACATTGTGCTACTCTTGAGCACTGATTTATTACAAATAAAACCATCACTGGAATCAAGGTAAGCAAGCCCTCAAAATTTGTTCCCCTTATGATTCTTCAGTTCTAGATAATGATAAATCCAGTTTTTCTACTAGAATGTTAAATTAGAAGGTTCATTAGGTATATTTAAGCCTTGTTCACAAAACATGACTACATCTATTTTTTAAAGCCAATTGCACCCTGAAATAACTTAGATTAAACTTTCTGAATCGACTAGCTTCATGGAGGAATAATTCATTTACCTATGCAGATCCAATTCCACATAAGGAAAAATGAGTTTTTCTTTAATCAGTTCCCAAATGATTCGTGTCATTTCATCTCCTTGCATCTCTACCACAGAACCGCCATGGATTTTTTGGGACATTTTTACTTCAGTAAATCTAAAAAGAAGAACAGATTGGATATATGCCTTGTCATTATTTCATTATAAAGTGGAAATGAAATATAAACAATCTGGTGACTACTAAAAGAACAGTTCACAATAGTTGTTACATGCAAAGCAAATAACAATTATATTTACCATCAGAATCGAGAATTTTCTCTGTATAAAGCATTGTGTTGTGTTCTTTATATATGGTTTGTGTCAGCCCTATAAGATGGAAATTGTTTAACCATTTTACCTTTAGAGAAAACTAGCTTTGCCCAAGGCCACCTTGCTAAAGGGTAGGGGTGTCTGACCTTGTACATGTCCTTAATAATGCAATCACTAATCTCAACTATTGGTTTGTCTTATGAAATGAGATTATTTTCACAATATCATCCTATTTGAACATTTCTATCCAATTCAATTCCTCATTTTATTGGGCCCATAAGATAAGCAGAACGGCAAGTGCTAGTATTTCTCCTAAAAGGCTGTTTTGGTGAAAATCACTACCATGGAGGAGATTCAACTGGTTCTTATGACCCATATTCCAGATAACTTCAGAAGTGCAAGACAAAGAATTCCTGGTGGAACTGTGCAAGATAAAGAATTCCTGGTAGAACTCTGCTTTCCTAGAGACAACACAGGCTTCAGAGATGTGAAGCTAAATACAAAAGTGACTTCTCAATTAGAGAAATCTGAATAGGAAAGGTCCCCTGCCCAGGACCCAAGCATGTCCCTGTCTTGTTCTTCAGTATCCTAACTCCTCCATGGTTCCTCTGGCCCTTCACAGGTGAGGATAAGCTGCTAGTGGGTGGGATAGGGGAAACAGCATTGTTTTAGGGAGGCATGGCCCTTTAAAAAATGGCATGTGGGGGTACAAAATACCAATTAATCTAATCCCATAAAGGACAAAGCTGGATCCTTTGGAAGAAATGAAACTGTGAGCCTTCAAAGAAGACCATGCTTTATGCTTGTTCCCGAAGAGACAGAGGCCTTGAGTCTGATAAAAGAATCTGTTCCTTCTCATGACACTTTAATAGAAACTTTGCCCAGCAACACAACTGCAAATTACTTTTAACCCCTTAAGTTAGAGTGAGGACTGAAAAGTCAGGAGAAATCAATTGAAAAAAAAATACAAAAATAAATAAGAAGATTAGATCAGAAGCTGAAAAACAGTCTCTCTTGAACAGTTGAGCTAAAGCATTATGGCCTTTAAATAAAAAATTATAATACTTAGTAAGCTGTAAACCTTAGTTTCTTGTGATAAATGAGGATATAATCCCAACCCCAGGTGCACTTTCACTTCTCAAATTTGTAGTTCTAGATTCCTGCTTATTAGTATTCAGGAGGCTCCCTGTATCTTACCAGGGAACTTAGAATTCAACTAGAATAAAAGAAATGAGCAAACTTGTGGATGAGTTAATTACTTCTATCAGTAATTTAAAGAACATTTTATAGTATAGCTTTAAGTGTATGAATCTGTCATGCTTAATCCTACTACCTGTCTTTGCTTTAAAACATGACAAATAAAAGCAGCAGCAAGCTTATCTTGGTTTTGATAGTACATTTTCATGGTTATGTTCTTACACAGTATTATGCAATAGTTATGACTGGGCTATTTTTCCTTGATGGCAAATACAGTTAATAGATCAGACTCTGTACTTAAAATGTCAAAACTAAAGAACAGTTTTTTTTTTTTTTTTAGTTTCCTTCTCAGTGAATGCAAACATACTCTCTGCAATAATTTTTCTATGTGTTATAATGCATTACTGAACATTTTAAGTTTTCCCTGCATTAATTATGTATTAAATTTTTACCATCTTTCAACAACAACAACAAAGCATTATTGTTACTACAATGTAAGGCATTAGTGTGTTTCTTCTGGATTTGATTTTAATGCCCTGGGCTTTAGATCTCACTGGATTCACTGAATTCTTGTACCTCTCTGATTTTCTGTCTCCATCCAACCCCAACTTCTGAAAGAAGGGCTGTTTCAAGCCCAATAAATGAACAGCCACCAGTTCATTTATTTAATCTGAAGGTAGTTGAATTCCAATCTCCTGACATACTAGTGTAATTCCAGAAAACAAACTTGGAATAATAATACAGGGTAGTTCAAATAAAAAGAGCCACTTGCTCTATTTTATTTTTATTAACCTCAAATTTTTAGCCAATTTTTAAAGGCTATGTTTAAGAACTACAATAATTGCTGGCCAAATATAGTCTCTTGCAGATCAGAGAAGACGCTAGGCTAAAAGAAATAAAGCGGTTTCAATTTATCATTGGAAATATTCTTGACTCATTTCATTGCAGTACCTTAGCTTGCCCTCAAGACTAATTAAAGGCAGGATGGCCACATCAAAGAAAGTACAGAAGAAATTATGAATTCTCACCTTTACAGTGAACGGACTTCTAGTCACACCAACTCCTCTCAATCTTGTGGACTCAACTGCAGTTTATCTCCTAAAACACAACAAAACCGGGAATAGAAAGTCTTAAAACACACACACACGTCAGGAGGATTTAGCTGTTTTTAATACCAGTCAGGCTGCCTGATTTATCTGGTTTAAAGTACAGTGCTGAGTATCCAGAGGAGCAAAGGGCAGCTTTGGGTCCACGTCCACCTTCCAAATAAAGATTGAGGGTGTACAAATCTTTCTGCGTGCACACATCTGAGGGTGCGTCCGAGGGTGTGTCCCTGGTCTGTAGTCTGTTAGCTGGCCTAGGGGTTTGTACGTCCTCGGTGACGCTGTGAGCTTGCAGATGTTCCTGTGGACGTTGTGCAAGAGGGCTCCAACGGAATCTGGACGGGTTCCTCTTTCCAGATTTCCACTTCTGATGTTCCCTATCGGGTGCTGGGACCTTTAACACCTAGACACTTGGAGCTGGCAGAGTAACGCCTTCCTAGAACTTGAAATCCCGTCTCAAAGGAGGAATGCTTTCCCGACCCCTACCGCGCCCCGGGGTGTCCTAGGGAACAGTCTTCGGATCCAAACCAGAGCTCCGCCCCCTCGCGCCCCCAGGCGGACGCAGCCTATGTGCCACTGCCAGTCCCTCGCAGCCTGAGTGCGCTGTCTACGCCCAAGTCCTCAGCTTACACCCTTCTTTGCACCCAGTTCCCCACTGTCGCATGTTTTCTTCCTATTATATCCTAGACGGTCTTCTATGCATCTTTGAAACCTCCTACAGCAAGATTTTACTTTCCGTATGCAGATCTGGTCTTCCACTTGTCACTGCATCCAACTTCCTCAGCGCCCAATTTCTTCCTCCCATGCCCAAGAGCAGGTTTCCCTACCTCCAGCACCCTCTTCTTCCCTTTTTTCCCGTTCCCATGCTGAATACCTGGATTTGTCCCTACTTGAACTTAGGCCTTGCCGCTAAGTTCCTCCCTCCATAACCAAGACCTGAGCTTTCTTTCTTTTCCACATTCCAGCCTTTTATGAATTAAAGCCTCCCACAGCAGCCAGGGACCTGGGCCGCCCCTCGAAGCCTGAGGTTACCTGCAGGGGAAGGTACGTTGGCGAGCAGCCGGAGGCGCCACAGTTATTCACACGCTCAAACTCACACGCACACACAGGGAATCCTAACTGGGCCCAGCTGTTTCAGCCTGTGACACCACCTCTGTACAGATCCAGGGACCAGTGGGCGGGTCAGGGCTTTTCCTCTTCCCGGCTTTTGTCCCCTCCCAAGCCCCACCTCCTCAGCCCACCTCCCGGGGCCCCGCCCCTGTCTCCAATCGCCGCCTGCCGACTCCTCGGGTTGGGCGGGGCCAGGGCCTAGGGGCGGGCCCAGAGAAGCTGGGGCTCAGTACTTGGGGCGACCTCCGTGTCCTCCAGGTGGGGGAAGGGGCTTCCTTGCAGCTGGGATTCCTCTCCAAGCCCAGCTGCCGAGGAACGTGAATGCCACCTGCAGGCCGGGGAGCTGGCCGCACTGAGGCTGCGGCACCCCAGCCATGTAACAATCTTGAGCACTGTGAAGCGTGTTTTCAGGTCCGCAGTAAAGGCAAACAGGGTACCGAGCACCCAGACCAGCACTTCGGCGGGTCCCCTACCCGCTGCTGCCGGATGGTCTGTAGATTGGAATGTGCCTTTGGAAGGAGAGTGTTCCAGCCAACATGGGGTTGCTTTGGGGCTGCCAGAATGCAAAGGATGCAACAGATATACAAGCAACCCTGACTGCCTCAGTAAATAATTTCCACCACAACCAATAACGAGATCTTTAGGGTTTTATGCACCTATAATTCCAGTTATTACCATATACTATAAATAAGCCCCATTTACAATTTGCATTAAAACATAATGAAAAAGATGATTATCCGGGTTCCAAGGTAGCTGCGCTAAAGATGTGAAGCCTTAGAAAACAGTGGATTTTTTTAAAATTCCATTTCCTCCAGAAATTCATTTTTGTATGTGTATTTCTTAGTCTAGAAAACATGGGGAAAAACAGTATTTTATGTTGCTATTTGTAGGATAATAGCATGATCAAGAGTCAATGTTTGAAATTTTATTTTTTAAAATAATCTTTCATTGGATTATAATGACAAGCAGGGCAAAATGCTCAAGGTGCATTTTGGACGCTAGAGGGCACTAGCATTTTTCCCACGAGAAAAAGGAGAAGAAAGCAAAAACCCAGGCAATTTATTAGTTTTTAATATGGATTAACAGATATTAGCATCCACGTCTACTTATTCCTGAAAAAATGGTTATAGAAGAGTGTAAGGGTGTATCTGCATCTCAAATCTCAGGTCTTTGGTCACCTGAGATTGTAAATTTTACTCCATGTCACATCTGGTTCACGTGGTTTATTATCCCTTGCTGATTATTAAAATTAAGCATTCATACCCATTCTTATTCAGGGCATCCTTCAAGTTACCTAAAATATAGTTTCATAAAAAATGTTGGTAATGGGCTGGGGTTGTGGCTCAGTGGTAGAGTGCTTGCCTCTCGCGCATGAAGCCCTGGGTTCCATCCTCAGCACCACATAAAAAAAAATAAAATGTTGTGTCCACCGAAAACTGAAAAATAAATATTAAAAAATCCTCTCTCTCTCTATTTAAAATAAATAAATAAAAATAAAGGTATCTAAAAAAATGTTGGTAATATATGAGGAAAATGAGGTAAAAATAAAATAAATATAGGATATTATACAGAACCAAGGTGAGTTTAATCATAAAAATATTCCATTAAATCATAAACATTTGCTAGAGAAAGGCTGCAAATTTGTCTCAAAGTCAATGTGATAGGAAAGATGACATGGGAATCTCATAAAACAGTGTTTCTTAGGCCACTAATATAGGAATGAATAGATTTCAGGTTGATTTTAAATATTATTTTCTTGTAGATTTCAGGTTGACTTACATTAAAATATTATTAAATATATATTGAAAAAAATTAAATGTAATGCACCATATGCTGATAATTCTTATACAACTTTAAAATAATAAATCTTTAGACAAAATGGTTAGAAATAAAACTATGAAACAATAAATTACCATTAATAAAATCAATTAAATTTAACAACGGATGTTTGACTGAAATTAGATTGCTGCTAGAAATGTGAATATGAAGCTCCCTGCTTACATGCAGGCTCTTTTGAATTGAGCTGGCCTATTCTATTGGATGCCACATTATGATTAATTTAACCCACCACTTTCCCCAATTTGGTTAATATTGCATACCTTGACATCATTTGCCTTTCATTTGTCAATAAAAGAATCTAAGTATTTTAATAATATCTAACCCCAAATACTGTCATAAATACAAACTGAAATCTGGGTCATGAAATCTCTGTTAGGATTTGGTTATGAGACTATCATCAAGATAATGAGATTCTTGTAAATATTCGAAAGCTGTTATATTTTCATTTTGCTGATCTTAGAGAATCTGAATATGAGTAGGGCTTGATCACTGCTTATTCATGAAGATTAAGGGAGAGACAACAGTGAAGGTGACTTCCTGATTTAGAGTTTGGGTGACAGGATACCCTTCAACAAGGAAGAAATAAAGATAAAGTTACAGATTTGATGACCAATATAATGAGTTAAGTTTAAAGTTTGTTGAATTTGAAATGCCTGTGGGACAGCAAGATGTTGATGTCTAGGAGGCAGTCATCTGTATCTGGAGTTCAGGAGGGATGTCTGAGCTGAAGAGGGAAGGAAATCTGGTAATCTTTAGCACATACTGATAATAGTTGAAAACAGCATATGAGATCATTCAGGAGTACAGAATCAGAAGAAAGCCTATCTCAGTGAGAACTGTGAGGAATACTCACATTTTTAAGGGCCATATAGAAGAAAAGGAGTTCCCAAAAGTAAATGGGAAGAAAAATCTGGGGGGCAGTAAGAGAATCAGCAGAGTTTTCATGTCCTGCAACGTTTTCAAAAAGCAGGAAATACCACAAAGAGATAAGAAAAGACAGTCTGAGAATAATTTTGGCAAGCAGAAGGACCTCATGAATGCACATTTATTAGAATGATTCTGAGAGTGATTTTGATAGAAATCATAATAAAAGAGATTAAAGTATGAATGGGAGGTATAAAAAAAGGAGACACAAAAAACTTTTCAAGGAAGTTGATTGTGCCACTTCTATTCAAAATGCTTTATAAAGTTTTAGTAAACATAATTTTCTGTTACCTGTATTACTTACATATCATTTGTCTTGGTTAGAACAGATTAGATCATATTAATTTCTTGTCATTTATGTTAGTTGTGTTGTTTCCTTTTATTTCTTCATTTTATTGTTTAAATAACTATGACAGATATCTTTAACTTACCTTTTTAAAAACAGTTGAATCATTTCTTTAGGCTACATTGCTAGAATTGGAATGAATGGATAAAGGAATTTTTAAGGCTTGTTAGATCAACCAAATCATTCTATAGAAGGGATATAACAGTTTATATAGTTATATAAAGGGTAAAAGGGAGCTAATTTTATTGTATCCTAGCCATAACTGAATTTCATAATTTTAAAAAACATCTTTGCAGCTAGGTGCCATGGTGCATGCCTGTGATCCCAGTGACTTGGAAGGCTGAGGAAGGAGGATCCCAAGTTTGAGATCAGACTCTGCAATTTATGGAGACCCTGTCTCAAAATTTAAAAAAATAAAAAGAGACAGGGTCCCATTGAATTGCTTAGTGCCTTGCTTTTTGCTGAGGCTGGCTTTGAACTTGCAATTCTCCTTTCTCAGCCCTCCCCAAAACAAACAAACAAACAAATAAATATTATAAATAGAGCTGGGGATGCAGCTCAGTGATTACACTTCCCTGGCATGCACAAGGCTTCAGGTTCAACCCCTAGTACTACAAAAAACAAACAAAAACATCTTTGCATTACCTATTGAAGTGAGTTAGAGCTCTCTGTACAGAACTGACTGACTCCAGGCCACTGGACAGGGAAGTTTAAGATGCCTGCTGAGTCAAAAATTAGGAAGTGCTTTCAATGACAAACAACAGCGGACATCATACTCAATGGCGGAAAGTTCAAAGCTTTTCTTCTAAGATCAGGCAAGAATGCCTACTCTTGCCACTTCTATTCAACATAATATGGAGCAATTAGGCAAGAAAAAGGAATAAAAGGCACCCAAATTGGAAATGAAGACTTAAATTGTCCTTCTTTGCAGATGACTTGATTTTACATATAGAAAACCCTAAAGATGACACAAAAAAACTGTTAGGAATTATAAACAAATTTGACAATATTATAGGATACATCAACATACAATGATCATTAGCATTTCTATTCACTAACAACAAACCCTCCTGAAAATAAAATTTAAATAGTCTCATTTATGACAGCTACAGAATGAATTTACTTAAAAAGATGAAGGACCCACACACTGAAAACTACAAAACACTGATGAAAGAAATTAAAGAAGACACAAATAAATGGAAAGACATTCCATGTTCATGGATTGGAAGATTTTAATATTGTTAAAATGTGCATATTACTCAAAGTGATCTACAGAGTCAATCTATATCAGTCAAAATTTTGATGACTTTTTTTAAAAAACAAAAATAGAAAAACAAAGCAATCCTAAAATTTGTATGGAACATGGAACCGTAAAGGCTTTGAATAGCCAGTCATCTTGAGCAAAAAGAATAAAACTGGAAGCTTCACACTACCTGACTTCAAAATACACTACAGAGTTGCAGTAACAAAACAGCATAATACTGGCAAAGGAGCAGACACAAGACCAATGGAACAGAATAGGTAGACCAGAAATATATGACTTTGGATGTTTAGTATTATTTACGGTAAATGGGTTATTTAGAAAGTTGCCAAGAACACACTATGGGAAAAGGGCAGTGTCTTCAATAAATGGTATTGGGAAAACTGGAGGTCCATATGCACAAGAGTGAAAGTAGGCCAAGTGAATTAAATATCCAAATATAAGATCTGAAAATGTAAAACTACTTGCAGTAAATGTATGGGAAAAGGTCCATGTCATTGGCCTGGGCAATAATTTTTTTGGTTATGACCCCAAAGTTTAGGCAACAAAAGCAACATAGACAAATGAGCAACATATTAAACCAAAATGCTTCTGCAAAACTAGGCAAACAATCAACAGAACAAAAAGACAACCTATGGAATGAGAGGATATTTGCAACCTTGCATCCGATAAGGTGCTATTATCCAAAATATACAAGGAACTTAAACAA